AAAACTGAAGAAACTGAAATAGTACGTACTGCAAAGACAAAAAGCAAGAATTGAATCCAGATCGTGTCTCTAAATTTTTAGATGATAGAGTCTGGAAAATACCAGACTACAGAATTCACTTGATATGAACAGAATATCAAGAGAAATATGTAGGAAATTTAAGACATTAAAGGGTAAACCAGGAAATTTTGCTTATGTAATTTTGTTAAGGTTTAATTTTTCAAATATATTCAAAATATCAACACTGTGCTGTAACTTTTAAATGTAGGTAGCTTTGTTTTCTAAATAATTGTGAAACTTCAAGGTTGATAGAGGTTTGTTTTATTTTTGCTTGCTGGACGTTAAGCCATAACAAACAAATTATGTCGTTGATTATTTACATATTCTTTACTGTTTTCTATTGATTTCACGGATTAAAATGAACAGTTGACAGTAAAAAAAACAAAAAACAAAACAAAAAAAAAAAACAAAATTGTTGTGGTTTTGGGGAAAGGGTTGGTTTGTTTTGCTTTTTTCCCAAAAAAATAGTTTTTTAGCACTTTTTGTACTAATAATTGGTAAATGTACTTACTGTTTTTTTTTTTCTTTTGCTAGCTTGCACAGGCATCTTGTCGAGCACTTAAATGCAGAAATAGTGCTACATACTGTCACAGATGTCACTGTAGCTTTGGAATGGATACGATCAACATTCTTGTACATTAGAGCCTTAAAAAATCCAACTCATTATGGTTTGTTGTTTTTTTTCTTAATTGATCTAAATTATGACACTAGCATGTGTTAGATCCATATTATTTGTTTCTTTTATTTTCTTACGGACTATTATTTCATAAGGGGTTGAAAACAAGATGGGTAATATGGCGTATAACATTTTTAGGAACAACAGTTTCAGTTGCTTTAGTATAAGTAACAGGAGTTTAAGCATGGTATAACATTTAAAAACTATGAAGAGGACATTTGCAGCTTCAGAAGGAGCTATTTCTTTTTATCTTAATACACTGGACCATGTATTAATGCAGTATCAAGCCATAATGTACTTTCCAGCGCTGCAGAAAAAAAATTTGTCTAATATTTCATAGTTTTTCTGAAACAAAGTTTCAGTAATCTTAATGCTGGTGTCTTCAATTTGTCTTGTCCAGAACAGCCTCGCGGTCCCCAGCCCTGACTATATCTTTGTTCCTGTCCACTTGCTCTACACCTGATTATGAAGTCATTGGGTATTTGCTAGAGACAATTTTTTTTAAGGATTTATAGCTGGGACTGGAACATAGTACATCTGTTACTTGAATGGGTGTTACAATTTAGGTGGCTTCCTGTATTCTAAAATAGGAAAACTCTACATGTGAAGTTGCTCACTGACATTTCTGGAACTTTTAGGGCTCTGATATTTTACATGGGGGATTATCTGCAACTTTCACCTTTGCACATCTGTTCTAACAGCCACTTACTGATACTTAGATACTTACACTATGTAATGCTTTTGACTTGTTCCCAGTATAATAAATATTTACGAATTTTTCATTTTTGGGGATTTGTCTGGCTCCCAAAAATCAGCAAATCAGTTTTGGTGGGTAATGATATTGAGGAGGAAGTATATAGTTGTATTAGATTAAAAAGCCATTGGTCTTTTCATGAAGGTTTTTCATCTGGATTGGATAAAATTGGAATTGAAGCAAAATTACAAGGTAAGTGGCTTTTAAGCTTTATTCAGTAAAATGTTACATTTTAGGGCAGGTTCATCCATGTTTATTATATATCTCCATTAATTTCAACAGATCCATTCACAGAACAAATGTAATTTACTATGTTGTGCTATTGATTTTATTTAATTATTCATACTTTTGAAACACTATCAGTACCTTTTGACTGGTGGAAAAGTTTTTCTTGTATAGAGAAAAAAAATTAAATGCCTTTACCTACCTCATCTCCATATACATAGTCAGAAATAAAACTACACACAGAGCACTTTAATTTTGATTGCTTGTCATTCTTTCTAATTTTCCTTTGATTGATCTCATTTGCTTTCATTAATTTCTGTTACTATACTTTCAAAAAAGCCCTTTTCAGAAATTGTCATCTTCCCTTCATGATAAATTTAGCCTTGAAAACAAAGGATGTAAAATGTAAACATCTTCACCTTGTTCAGAAACAGTTTAAAATTGCATGATTATAGCATGTTAGGCAGCAATAATAAAGAGCAGGTGTAGGCAGAGACACATTGCTTTTTCATGATCAATATTTTTACATTGGTCATTCAAAAATGCATAAATAATGTGAAAAAGGAATTTTAGAGAACTCCAGAGTGTGGCACATCTTGTCCAGTGATGGACTCGGTGAATTGGAGGATAGGAGCGAATCTTAAATTCTGTATTTTTGTACAGGTAAATCACAAGACTTATATTGTATAGGTTTGCTATTCAGACATCCGGACTGGTATGATCTGAGAATTCCACTCTCTGACCATGACGTTTTGCATTGGCAATGTACATTCTAGTGTATTGTTTGCTTGTTACCTGAAATTTGGCCCTCATGGATTGAATTACTCATTTTGCTTAGGGGCATCAAGGGAAGACTTGCAGTCTTTTGAAGATTTCTGTGCATTAAGCATTCCATAGAATATCAGTCATATCTCAGATGTATGGATTCAGTAGATCCTCTTAAGAATTATTTTGCTATTTTAATTCTAAATTTAGTTTTAAAATTTGCATATGAATAGCAAATGCATAATACAATAGCAAAGAACTAAGAGAATGCAAATACATAATTAAAAAATTGCACTTGCTCTTCAAGTGAGCAGCAATGTGGAATGAGGCATCCAACTTTACAGATACCAAAACAAAAAAGAAAAATTAAAAAAAATTAGCAGCACCATGTTTTTCCTGTAGTACTGTAAAATTACTCGAAGACTACTTTTAAGAGGCTTTTTTTGCTAAGACTTTAATAAAACCCAATTATTGTTTTTTTTTTAAATATTGCTTTTCAGTTATTTACAATTCCATCAGAAAACATACAGCTGACTAAATAGTTTGGGTATCAGTACTTCTCATCTTTAAATATGAAAATAGCACACAATGCCTTTTTTTTTTTTTAAGTTTTCTGGTAGATCCGAAATAAGTATATTAATAAAAGACTAAAAGACTACTTGCTAAGATTGTAAGTGGAGTTCTGCAAATCTACAAATACAGTTTTTTCTCTTAAGTGAAAGTCCTCATGTCCATCATAATTCTGTGTATTTGTAGAGTAGACCATTTGGAACTTAAATATCTGGAGGGGGGCCTGGTATATGAAAACACAGACTGACATACGCCCTGAAATTTGTAGAGCCAATACTTGAACTCCACTTACACATTTATTAAATTTTACACAACTGTGTAGAAAAACTTGTGATTGGTGTTGGGCTTGGTGGAACTATGCTGAGGCTGTTTGTTGTATAAGGGTTTCAAAGACCCGTCTCCAGGAATACACTTAGTATATACACTGCTGCTTGAAGTCTCCAAATATGAGAGACCTTGACTGTGACTTGCAGATAGGAAAAAAAGGAGTACTTATCAGTAAGAAAAGTTTACCTAGTTCATATGCTCTTCCAGTTGTTTTCTACCTTTTCTTGTCCTTTAGATCAGGACATTTCTATTTTTGGAATGTAGGTTGAAAGGAATGGAGGGAATGAGGCTTGTTATTACCTAAATAAGCCTTTATGGGAGAAGGCATGGTTTGAAATCACTTCTACAGATAGTGCTAGGGTAGAAGGCTTCGCTTACAAATGCTTTTTGGGTGTGGATTATATTTCCTTGAAATGCTCTGATCTTAAAAACAACCTCTTTTTAAAGTTCTTACAGAAATTAGCTCCTTTTCCCTGCACACACGAAATATTTTGTAGTAATGTATATAGTTAGTATGTTTTCATCCATTTCATATACAATGTGAATGATTTCTGGTTGCTGTGGGCCCTATCACTTTGAGTGCTTTCCCAACTTACTTTTAAATTCTGAACATTATATTAATGTAATTTTTGCCGTTTAATTACCTTGGTTTTGAAAGAGAGAAAAAGAAAACACTTTGGTCATCCTCGTCGTGCAGATATCCGACTAAATAGGTTTAGTGAAGTAAATACAAATGCACCTGATGCAGTTTGAAAATTTCTGATGAAGGATTCATAAATACCTGCGGATATTTGAAATTTCAACCATTTCAGTGTTAACACTTTAGCGGAAATCTTTTATATAACTACTGTGGGCTCTCTGATCTGTCATTCAGAATTGAGTATGGCAGCCTACATTCCATGCATCTAGTTTCTTTTACTTTGCTACTTTTGCTTTACTGAAAAAGAGTTGGGTTGTTCTGTATCAAATATCTTTGAGTGAGCTTTCCCCAGGCAGAAGTTACCCACCAACTTTAGTAGAAGCAGGATCATATTCTAAAACCCTTACTTGAGTTCAGTGGCATTACTCTGGTAGACATTCATTGCAATTTGATGATGATGTTTCTGGTTTGAACATAGGTTAAGTTTCTCTGCATGTACTAAAAATACATATATTTTCAAATTGTCAACAGAACTGTGTTTGAAGAACTTAAATGATTTATCATCTTTTGATTTGATCAGGATGGATGAAGCAAATAATTTCAAACCAACAGGTACCACTTTTTTAAAATAAATTCATTTTCAGAAGTGACGTTGAGATAGTAGTGAACCAAAGAGTCACCACTATTCTTGTGACCCATTAATAGGCGTACACAAATATAGTAGAGAGTAGAATCTGAGAGATTGTTTGACTAGAATATATGAGCAAGTTTCTTTAACAAATCATGGGACTTCATTCTCTTAATGTTGATCCATGAATAGGTCTTCTCTTGTTGTTGCTGGAACTTTTGTTGCAGATTAGGAGAAAATTACAGAACATTATCACAGGATAATTGGATGTGACACAGTGCAATGAAAGACAGGTTTTATCAATACCTGCTCTTCTCTACCATCCTCTCCTAGAAGTGGTTGGCTTCTCAGCAACCAAAATTCAGAGTCTGGTATATTAGTGTGAATTCATCTCCATTGGAGAAAACTGTAACTGGTGTGTATTTCTTTCTGCCACTCTATGATGGGGTCAGTAATAACCATCAGGCAGCTGAGGGCAATAACATACTGAGTCAGTGGTGGTAAATCTCATAGAGTCCTGTAATAAGAAAATTAATTCAATTTTGTGACTTTAAAAAAGATACACTAAAAAAATACTTGGCATATTTATTTTTTAAGGTATATTCTTCTTTTACAGAGCCTGGAAGATTAATGGCGTGGTATTATATTGCATTTGATACAGTGAAACAATTTTTCACAATTAAGGGAACAGAGACCTTAAATGAATTGGTAATTTAACTTTTAAAGAAAATTTACATATGTTGAATTGATTTTAAATAGAATCAAAGATGATAAGCAGAAGTTTTTATTTCTTTTAAAGAGCTTAGGCTTTGTTTATATAAGGTATAAAGTTTTAGAGAATACTCTAAATAAATTCCATATGAAGTATTTTTGAGGCTTTGTACTCTAAGATCTTTCAATTTCCAACTCTTTCTCCCCTCACTAACTTTGCTTATGAAGATGTAAAGTTGCTGAAGCTGTTCTGTTTATGTATTAAACATTAGTAGTTATTTTTTATTGCAAAAACCAGCTGCATGCAGAGCAGATTTTACTTTTAAAGGAATGTTACTGTCTTTCTGTTTTAAGTCATTTTCCTCTGTCAGATAACAGGTTGTTATTGCTACTGTTAAGTCACAAAAGGCATTTTGTTTTCAAGCAAATACTATCGTAGAACAGATTGGCCATGAAAAAATGGAGTGCCTGTTCTCCTATGGCTATCTTTGTTACTAACTTATGAAGAAAGTAAAGTGAAATACATTACAGATAGCAAAAACTATTGATACTTGCCTTGTATGTCATAAAGTGTTAGCAGTGGGGTTGATTTTGGATAATTTCAAGTGGAATAGTAATCTAAAGAAAGAAAAATCTTCCCCTTTTGTTATATAATAGCCTTTATAGGAAGATGAAAGAAAGTTTGTCAGTATTAGAACTGATTGACCATCTTTTCATGGTCATAGCGCTGAGACAATCAAAAATTTTTAATTTTTTTTTTTTTTTTTAAAGTTGAAGTGGTAGAAAAAATGGTAAAGAAAAACAATTAATAAAAAACTTAAATTGTTACAGATTACAATGATCTCCAACTGCACAGAATTTCTGGATGTCAAGTTAAGAACAAATGAAAAGAAAATATTGAACACTTTGAATAAAGACAAGGACAAAATAACTATCAGGTATAAAAAATAAATATATTGAAAAAGGAAAATATCTTTTTAGCAATAAATAAAATGAGTAGCAGAAAATATGTATATTTCCATGCATAGGTTTCCAATGGAGGGGAAGATAAAAACAAGAGAAATGAAAATAAACTGGTAAATATTATATTGTGTTCTTACTTTTTATTGAAAAGCTGTCACTTTATGGCTGTTGAAGTCCCGCTAAAATTTGTATCATTTTATAGAGGACCAGATCTTGCATTTCATTGTTTCTATTCTGAATTTTCTTTTGTTTTCCAGTAGAAACTTTTATGTTGTTACACTTTTCTTACAGTATGGCTTACATACCAAAAAATTTTTTTTTCCAGTCTTATTCAGGCTCAACTAGGATGCATTCCTATTCAAGACTTTACTTTGACACAAGATACTGGCAGAATATTTAGAAATGGCTTAAGAGTTACTAGATGTATGGTAAAATTTAATCCTTTTTTGGTACATATAATAATAAGCTACATATTATTTGATTAATAGAAGTCAATCTTATTTTTACAGGGTTATCTGACTTTCTGGCATCATGTAGGAACAACTTTTCTGCTTTATTAAACTCTCTGATTTTAGCAAAGTGTTTCAGGTGCAAACTTTGGGAAAATTCACTTCATGTATCTAAACAATTGGAAAAAATTGGTAGGTACTAGTCAGAAATGATAAAGGTATAATCTGATACAGAATCAAAACTCGTAATTAGCCTGCTAATTTCTGGAATGTCTGGTTACATAATTAAATGAGTCTCCTAATTACTCATTTGCCACAATTGAGTACTACAGTTGTCAGAAGAGTCTGTCATGGTAAAAATAAAAGTAATCCGTTTAGTAATTTTCTTCAGGCTTTCAAAGTATTTCAGAATTGTTCTTTTTTCTTAATGTTCATCTCAGTATCTTGAGCATATTCCACATTTGTGTGATTGCATATTTCTGACTAGGCTATGCCTTCCTTTCCAAACAGCTGTCACCGTTACTCATATGCATGCAAGCCCTTTAATTTGCATTGACATGGATAGGAATCATTAAATAGAAATAAATTTACTGTGCATTAGGTTCTTATACACATGAGGATCACAAGTTTCTAATAATCTTCCTATCACTGTATCCTGTTACTGGATGAGCTTTTGGCTGGGAGTACAGACTTGTCATAATTATTTGAAAATTTGGAGTCCTCTGTATTACAAAAATGTAGTTATACTTGTTTGAGGTAATAGTATAGCTTCCTGCTTTGATGTCTGGTCTTATCATACCTTCATGCTTTCAGAATTCACTGCAGTGTTCTCTGTATTTCTTCTTTAAAGACATATCTACTCTGTACAGAACAGTATAGTACAGAGATGTGCAAATTAGAGAACAGCTAAGAAGATCCATATGGTACAGTACATTAAAGCCTTGCCAGCTCAGGTGCAGAAGCTGTATTGCTTCATTCATGTGGATTCAAAGCAAGGGACAGAGCTTGTTAGCTTGTGCGCAGCACACTACAGTGTGGTGGGAACCCATTTCCACTACTTCTGGATCTATGCCAATGTACACACGGTCATCTGAGGAGTCTGCCTCATCTTCAGCATTTCTAGGGGGTTAGGATGAGTGGAATAAACACGGCACTTGCAGTGTAGACAAACCCTTTCCTGTACACTATATTCAATAGAATAAAGTCAGTTTTAGTTTTTTAATAATAAAGTGCTATATATACACATCTCTGTCCTGTTTTCCTTTTTTTGTTTGTTTTTTGTATTTTTTTTCTATGCTGTCATTGCTCTTGGAGCATATGTTACAAAGAATTGCTAATTTCCAAAGTTCCATTTGTTCCGCTCACAGGCTTCTTTTGAACCGTCTGCTGACAATTCACTTTCTTTTCCTGAATCAAATACTGAATTGATGCCTATATTATGATGTCTGATTCTTGACCTCTGTCATGCTATGGCTGCTAAGCCTATTCTATGTCTTTGTGAAGTTAAGTGAATTGTTTGAGCTCACAGAAATTTACTGATACCATGTAACATATTCAGAAATCCCTAATTTTTAAACTCTTATCTCAGGATGTTATTTTTTGAATCTTAAAAAAGCCTTAGTAATCAGTATTTCCTTTATAAGAGTGACTGTTCTCTAATTGACATTTGGCCTTACTGAGATTGAGGATTCAGTTGAATTCTTACTGCATTTCTACAACTATCTCAATTTGTTACTCTTGTCCAATAATCATTCTCCCTCTTACTGCTGTATGATATGCTTGATTTCTGCTTGCTTGTTCTGACAGTCAGGATAATGATCAGTTGCAGTACAGGATTTTATCACCTTTACTACTTGTTCAGTTTGATTTCCACCTCCATTTTTTTTCTTGCTCAGAAATAGGTAAAGACACAGAGGAAAAGTCTTATTTATATCTCATATTTTCTTCACTGGTGGAAACCCTTCTGCCATTTTAAGAACTTACAAAGAAACAAGGTAACAGCTCTAACTGAAGTAGCTGCAGAATTCGTAAGTGCGAGTCTTCAGTCTTCAGACTGTTTGCAGATTTTCTGCAAAGGAGAGGGGAGATGGTAGAAGATGCTTTCCCTAAATCAGACCCAAAAGGTGTCCAAATATACAAAAAAGGACGAAAGGTCTTTTGTTTCTCTAAATCATTAAATTCTTGAGTTGAAATGAGTCTTTTGTTACAAGATTGCTGTAACGTCTTCCAAGAAGCAATCTTAAGACTCTCTTGAGAGGTTTCCCACTTAATTTTCAGATCTCTTTTACTGATTCTACAGAACTACATATGAAGAATCCACATATTCATTGTAAGTATTTGGTACTATCTTTTACCTAAAATTATTGCAGTTATTGTAGTAGGCAGTAGTTCCAAGTAAGGGAACTTACCTTTTCATATGCTGTGATGACTCTAAATCTCACTGGAAGTTTGAAAGAACTGGGAATCATGAAGAGGAATAAGATTGTATGTGGAATTCTCTGGCAGCCTGCTTTTGTGGCAGATAAAGCCATGGGAAAAATTTTTGCTAAATCTGCAAAGACTCCTAGATTATAATAAATTTTTTTTTGAGTAAATTTCATTATTAGCTTGCTCAAAAACATTGAGATCTTTATGGCTTTAACATAGTTATCCTTATGACTTTAACATAGTTAAATAATTCCTTGGATAGGGAAAAAATTTCTGAGACAAAGAATGCTGTGTGACGTGCTTTTTTTCATCATATATATGCAGAATATGTTTCTTGACTCCTGTAGAAAGTGATCTAAAATCTGTTTCGCTCTAGAAAATGTAACTAAAAATTGTCAGTATTGAAATATTGAATGTTTTCACATTTGATTTGTATTGCATTTCTTTTTCTCTTTACTAATGGATAATTGAAATTAAATAATACTAAAATATTTAATCAACTGAAAAGAAATTTAGTGATTTGCTGGGCAAAAAGCTGGGACAAACGTACTATAAAATGATTTCTGCTTTGATTTTACCTGCAATAATGCAGTTGTTGAGAACAATTTGAGATTAGTGATTGTCATTTAACGGCATAAAACTTAAATTTTTCACAGGTGTATCACTGTCAAACGCTATGGTAAATGCTGGGCTGACATCATTTAAAAAAATAGAAGACACAAATGCAAGGGAACTTGAATTGGTAATTTATTATTTTGTACGCAGATAAATAATGATAAGGAAAATACTGAGTATTAATACTGTTACCAGTAAAAGCAATATGGTTAATATATATCTGCTATATGATTGTCAGACAAATTGCATGTTTTAAGTGGTTTATTCATTTATACTAGTGAATTAAAAAAAAAAAGAATGTGGCTACTGCTATTTTTGCTTGAAAATGTGTATGATGTTTTGTTCTAGCAAATTTAATGTGGATGATTTCACTGATTTGGCTGGTTTTGGAAAGCAGTTGCTTAAATATGTAGAATTTAATCACTAACATGGTTTGAAACAAGGGGCAGTCTGCATTTCCCTTTTAGGAGGTTTAGAAAAAAATACGAAAAGGAATATGTATTTACAGTTTCTCTTAATGTATGTTAATGATGAGAATCTTGAATTTCTACTATTGCTAGTTTTAGTTAAAGATAGTCATAGAAGATTCTTCCGAATCATCTACAAAGCATGTCTTATTTTAGGGAAGTTAGATTTTCCCCAGGACAAGTTCTTTGGCTCTTGGCTTCTTTTCTGAGGAAACTGTTTTTCTAGTGTTCTGGAAGATATAACGGATTTCTAAAGGAAATCGATCTTACTTGGGTTTTCCTGTTTTGGCTTTAGGAACTTGATTTCTCTTTTCTGCCCCCTTTTGCAGTTTTCCTGTCGTTTGTTTTGTGACTAAAGTTAGGGCACTATAGAAGGGTCATCTCATATAAAACCTGAGTAGTCAGGTTTTGAGGTCATTGGCTAGTTCATTGGCTGTTACCTGAACAGATGTGGTAGCAATATAAAAAGTATTGGAATTTTCTTTTGGTTATGTTGCTATTCTGGGCATCGCTGACAGTAGAGAACCAGGAGTGATGAGGGCTTTTGTTGATAGCATAATTACTCTGGTGACTTTGATTCCTTGGATTTACATTTCTGTTGGCATCTCTGATCAGCTGGATGTATCAGAAATTAAATTAAATCTTTGCAGATTTTAAACAGACATCCTCCTTTCGGAAACCAGATAAAAGAATCTGTTTTGCACCTTCCAAAATATGAACTTGACATTGAACAGGTAAATGCTTTTCCATTTATTTTATGTTTTTATGCTGATATTATTAAATGAAAGAGCAAATACTGACTTAAAGAAATTTTGAGCCTTCGCTGATAGAAGATTACACAATATTGTGGCCTCCTTCCACCTTAGCATGTATAATCAAACTCTTAAACATCGAAGGAGAGCCTTGGAATAGACATTCCCTATAATACATTGGCCTCTCTCTCTCATAGCATTTTATGTTACAGATGCAAACCACTATATTCCACATTCTAGCACTATATGTGAGTCTGAGAGATCTCTTCTGTCTTGCATATAAATAAACCCTAGCGACAGAAAAACATCCATATAAAACTTACTGAAGAAGCATTAACTCATGTTTATTTTCTACGTCACACTTAGGAATATAGAAGAACAGTAAATTATTACATTAACCTAGCTGGTACCCTTTCAAAGGAAGGGTGCAATTCCATGTGCAATCAAGAGCTTTGAGGTTCAGATATGCATTTTGGCTTTAAACAGGTCAAATAGCCACTCTACCTTTCTGAAATGCAAAATTTGAAAAATAGCCTTAAAGTGTCTTGTGAAGTTGGTACAAATGAAGACACCTTTGAAGTTTAAAAACTCAATAAATGTGTGAAATACTGTTGTTATAATGATCAGTTCTATTTTAGTTTTTCATGTGACATAATACCAGATGAGTATCTCTAAAGTTACTCTCAGAAGAAAGATTTAACAATTATAAATTTCTTATAGAGGAATGTTGGGATGCCAAAATATACCTAGTTTTCTTCTTGCATCTTTCTCTTTGCATTGAACAGAGGAGGGTTTTTCAGGGGCTTAATGTAGACTGTCTTTTATTCTCAATACTTAATCAAATTTAAGATACTCAGCTATGGGCAAGTTAGAACTGTATAATAGTGTCTCAGAACAACAAATAAAAATTGTACCACAAATTGAAATTGCTTGAATGGAGTTTTTGTGCTTGTATCAACAGCTAAAAATTTATGGAAGGGCATATATTTTACTTTGCATATTTTAGCTGTTATGTTTTCTTCTATATAATTTTTTCCTAGCTTCCAAAATACAGTGATACATTGGCTGAAATCTTAGTAACCATCAAATTAACAAACTATGAGCGGCTACAGACAAAGAGAACAGCAACAGACTTTCACTATGTTACATTGGTCATAGGAGATGCTGACAACCAGGTCATTTTTAATCAGAAAATTATGTATGTATGATCAGGTTTTTTTGCCCTACATCTTTTAAGGGTGTTGGCTTTTAATCCTTTCTGTGACTTGCAGTTTTTGCAATACTTTCTACTGATGCCAAATGGTACAAAATTATTCTTTAACCTACAGCATTTCCTAGTCACTGTTGTCATTTTAAAATGCTTCACAAGATTAAAAAACCCCAAAAACATGCCAATGTGCTTGTCAGTACAGAGTATGTGGAAATATCTGTACAACACTGATGTCATATTATGGAAGTCATAATAATTTCCACATAAATATAAAACAAGTAAAATATCTATTGAAAAGATACATTCTGAAGTTGTTACTCTTATTAGCTATATTTCTTTAATTATAGCATATTGTCAAAATTGTTTTTTACTCAGAGATGGAATTAAATTCTCCAGTTGGCTAAGATATGCTTGGAGCAAATGGGAAAAGAGAAACAAAATCTTTCCCAACTGTGAGTTCTGGCCAAAGTCTGGCACTTTTGGCAGAACTGAAACTGATCTGCAGGATCCTGGCCCTCTTATGGCCACAAATCATATACTATTGGAAGGTTATTCTTAGGCCACTTATCAAGCAAAATCCAAGAACTAAGACCAAATAAAGGCTCTTTCACTTCTTTACATATGCCATATTATACAGTCTTGTTTTCATTGTCCATGTCTAACAAAACTTTACTGATCCATTACAGGGATTCTGTGCTGCTGAAAACTGGAAATTGGATGAAGAAAATTGAAGTGAAAAGAGCTCTTAAATCAGAGGACATTAGTATAAATTTAATTAGTTCTGATTATGGTAGGTTGATTGGTATGCTTTTAATTTAAAAACAACTCCATAAGAATTTTGAATAAATTATTAAAACACTTTATATCAAGCCAAAAATATAATAAAATTAACTGATCTGGAAACAAAATTCTATTACATGTTTTTTACTGGGTTGAATATTACATAACAGTCCTAATTACATATCTGTTTGTTTCATTTACTGGTATATTAATGAACTGGGAAACATCAAAACTGTTACTAGGTGACAGTATTTTGCTCTGTACAGATTAGGATTCTCTTTTGTCCTTTTGTCCTTTGCCTTCAAGTTGAATGAACTTTCAGTAGGGATAACCTATCAGCTTGATAGGTTATTTATGCTGGGAAGAGCTGTCTTTGCGAATGGTTAGGTTTGCCTTGTGATAAAAAAATATTGGATATGGCGTCATCTCCACTTCAGTAGCAAGAAATTTCTACAGTGGAAAATTTTGTGCCTTAACGCGGGTACATTTAAAAATTGGTCCCCTCAGTGTCAACTTCCATACAGTTGGAACTATAGCAGCAGATGAGGAGCGATAGTGATGACCTTGAGACATAGAACTTTGAAATAAAATTTAAAAATAGACTGGCTGTATTAAATTCTGTCATCATGCCCCACCTGTAAAGAAGATTGCTGTGTGCTGGATTAACTGAAGTACATTTGGTACTTCCATTAAAAACATTGAATATTGAGACTATTAGAATAATCAAGCCTGGAATAATCTGTATTCCTATGGCTAAACCTGTGGCTCAGGAAAAGGAGGGTTTTCTAACCAAACAGAGATGAAGAAAAAATTGTCCTTTTATTACTACTTGGCTATCTACAAGTTGTACTGAGTTCAGTAAAACTCAACACAACAGTTAATTTCTCTGAAATTGGCAACAGTGAAGTTAGACTAAAAGCAGGTCTTCCTAGACTCTACTTATTTTAAAGTCTGCTTCTGTTTCAGATATGAAGGAAATCTCTCATTTTTAAAAAGCCTGTCTGGTTTTCCAGGAATATTTGCCTAATTAAAGACAAAAATACTCTTTTTACAAATGGTGTTTCTCGTAGTCTCAGATGAATCTTAGTTTAATTAGAACTTAGTTACTGGCACTCAACTTCAAAAGTACTATCAACATACTCATTTTATGCCTTTGCCAATACAGAGCTGCTGATAACTCCTGTAACACACTGTAGTACAATTTTAAAGTTAAAATTATATCAGCAGTGCAAAGCCATAGATAAATGTAGTTTTAAAACAATACAGAAAAATTCTGTTAAAGGGACTAATTTTGTTACTCATCTAGTAATCATGTCTTAATTCTGAAAATGTTTGGGTTTTTTAATCTCAATCAGAAACAATCCATTCATGTAATAGTGTGCTTTCAATGGTACATTATCGTAACAAATTTCCATGATCTTTTAATAACCATTTATACTTTATTAAACTCTTTAGAAAACAGAAAGTAATCAGTAGTTTAGAAAGTTTATAGCAATTTGAAATATTTTTGTCTTTTTTTCAAAGTTGGCCTTGATATACAGCAAGCATATACAGCCTTTTACCTAACACCAAAAACAGTGGGAAGTAAAGTGGTTACAAATCAAAAACTGAAAGCTGAGTCTTCACTTGATATGTATTATGGCTCATCACAAAGTCTGCCAGCAGCAAAAGTATATACAGGTAAACGGTCAGATCACAACATCTGGCTAATACCAAAGTCAATAGAAAATAGAATTTTGCTTTCAGTAGAGAGCTAGATCTTTATTTATCCATACTGTTCCTTTCTCAAGTATAATAAAAATACAATGCTGCTGCTTCCACTTGTCAAGTACTACAGTGCAATTCTTTGATGAATTTGAAAATAAGAAAAATCATGGGTGTTTGGTATCTAATATTACTGCTTGAATTTGGGAATGTAGTAGTGCCTCTCTTTTCAGTAGCATTGATTACTTTCCAATTATATTGTTGGAGCAGCCCATAGTTTTGTCAAGGCAAGAAAATTCTAGTGACCCAGATTACTTCTAGCCTGTCTTTTACTGCATGAAGTACTCTCTCAACAATACATATGAAATAAAAAATGAGCATTTCTGTATTATATTTATCTAGGAGGCAGATCTAAACAAGAGATTACCTACAAGAAATATGGAAATAGAGAATGCAACCATCGCTGTAAAACTAAAGATGTGTGTGGACATGACTGCTGTGAGTTTCATTAAATCTACTATTTCTTTTACTTTTAGACAAATATAATTTAGAATAGCTTCACTTATGCCAATAGCTACATTAACAGAAGCAATGTAAGCAAGAGAATCAGGCATGAGTTGTTGCTATGATGCAGTCATAAAAGCAGTAATAAAAAGGTTTGTCAATAACACTTTTATAGGCACTATAAATGCCTATAATGATTAATATTATTTTTCAAAACAACTAGCATATGATTTAAGAGTAATGTCCAGCTTGTTACACTTGTATATAAATATTGGTGTGTTAAATCTTTTAATTAGTGTGTTAAATCTTTTAGGATCTTTTAATAAAAGATACTAAGCTTAGTGGCAAAGTTTCCATTGATCTGGAAAGAATTAGGGTTTATCCCTTCTAAACTAATCTGAAGATTATTTTAATTCCTTTTCTCAGGTAAAACTGGAGTACCTCCAAAGTCTGAGATGAATGGCGATTCAAAGTTTTCTTTGTACCTAGCTGATTTAAGGAACAGGAACTCAATTTCATCTGTACCCCCAGTAAAACGGTTAAAGGTTCATTTGAATACAGTCAGCCATTGAATAGATTTATTTTAATCTGTTATGTATTTGTACATATTTGTTTGCAGAGAGAATTTTATAACTAAATATGAACATTCAAGTTTTTCTTTTCCATATGGAATGCAAAAAGCAAGGAAGTACAAAGGTACCAAAAGTCCAGGAATCTTTGAGAGGTTCTGCTGCTGTTTGGAACGCTTCCAATGATCCACTCCTGTGCATGTGCTCTTTGTTTTTACTTTTATGGCATTTGGTAGATTGTGGTGGGTGAGGTACAGAGGCATCGTTGGAAGGTACTGTACTGTGACTTGGTTTTGGCAAAATATGACGTGAACGAAAACAAATAGTGGTATCTATCAGAGTAATGCTACTAAGAGATCTTTTTGCATTGATGGGTAGATCCACTTGTTTATCAAGAAAACCAACCATGTTAGTTTTTAACCTCTGAAAGATTTCATGGCTTATGCTTTAGCCCTTTGAAAGTAGTACTACACTAGTTCTTTCTGCAGCAAGAATGGCATTTGAGATACTGGAGCATTTTATTTCCTCCTCACAGTTTTGTTTGCATGTTTGTTTGCAATAAAGACTGATTTAGCCTATAGCTAATACAGACAAGAGTTAGGGATAACCAGTCTGACTTTGCCAGAGTACTTGGATAACTCCACTAGAAGCATGTAATTCAAACCTTTTTAACTGATTACGTTAGATAAGCAGACATCAGAAAGATTTATATATGTTCTTTAAAAATTATACTAATTGATACAGTATTAATGATGACTAATGATTAAGATTGTTAAAAAACAACGGTTTTCAATATGTTTATATCTTATCAGTTACAATAATCTGCTTTCTTTAGATGCAGATGTTAAATCAAGCTCAAAATGTGGATCTCAAACAATTTGTTTTTACACCTAAATCTGTGTTGCCGGTGTTGCCAAGGTACTGATTAATATAAGTAACAAAAAAGAAATCTGTCTTATTTTAGATAGTATGTTAAGTTGTAACAACTAAAAACTGTTTTCTGAATAAAATTATTTTGCAACTTTCTGCAACTGTTTTACTGAAATGTCACTGATTTTTTTTTTTTTTTTTTTTTTTTAATAGGTCTAGCAATAAACAGTCGTCTTCATCACCTTCAGTGGACCAGGTAGATAATGTTAATAGCTTAGGAGGATCTCAGAAACAACTGCAATCCTGGAATTATGGAAAGAGTAGTAAGTTATTGCTAATGTTTGAAATTATGATTTTTCACTGTTTTGATTTAAATATATTTGTAAACTCAAACTTGCTGAAATCACTACAGCAACCAGTACAGCGTTATAGAACACTGAATGTATGGGGAAATATAGCGGCCTTAATTGGCTTTCTTTCTGGTATCAGTAAGAATTTCTAATGTAGCTCTAAGCATCTAAATGTACCTTTAAATAAAATAGTAATGACTAAATCAAATATATGAGGGTCAAAATCTATAAATAGTTCCTGAAAGGTATGACTATAATGTATTTCCAGTGAAGCTGCTTGTAATACAAGAAGTATTTTACCCCTATATCTATACATGTTCTTCTTTTCCCTTTCTGCTGGAAGAAGTTAGTGAAATACGAGCTTTTGTTTGGTAGTTGTCAAAATGTGACTATTCAGTAACTGAGTTCATAACTAGTAAAACATCTCTATCTGGGGAAAAAAAGAGTCCTCTTTCTGTTTCTCTTCCACTGGAAAGGCTACAAATGTTTTTACATTTGGTGTTAAATGATCAGTGTTCATTATCAGTGTATAACAATGATGTTCTCACTGCATGCCTTTTGCCATTGGATTTGGTGACAGTAGATTGATGTGAATCAGGTTTTGATTAACTTGGTTAATAAGTAGCAGCTCCACTGTTTAGATCATATTCAGACATACAAGAAACACTGTGCTGAAATGAATTGAAACATTTTTTTAATTCATACTGCCTTAAGTGTTGGCAGCTATACTGCATAATTTCATTTTTACTTAATATTTTGATGATGGGATTGCAATCTTTTTCCTTTAAATTAATGCTTCATATTTTCCTGCCATACTAATTTATCTATAGTTGTTATCTAGTCTTAAAATGGAAGGCTGTTGCATACCCATATCATCAGTTGCTGGGGGGGGCGGGCAGTTAGTGTTTGATATGATTGTGTTAAAATAAAGTCATGGGAAGACAGATGGATATTCCAGTATAGCTATAGTCTATGCTCAAGAACATCTTGAGGCAAATCATACAGGATCAAGGGGACGTAATAGTTATTGCTGACTAAAAACCACCTCCATTGAATAGTAGTAGAAAAGGTAACCTCTTGGCCATATTGATTGGGCTGGCTGCATTTAAAAAAATGCACCAAAAATAGTTCTAATGAAGTAAGGCATCGGTTCATATGATTTTTATAGGGCTAACTGCATCTGTAATACGTAATCTTTCCATTCCATTAAAGAAAAAAAAATGTGGGTAATTAAGACTATACTGTGAAATTGTAGTAACCTAAACCTATAATTTATTTAAAGTCTGTGTGTCTGTGCAATAATGCACCATGCTGACTCTGCACATCCAAAATTACAGTAGCAATGCCTTCCTGGTGTTGCCAGTGTCTGTGGAACAGGATCTTTGATTTGAACCTGTCCTGCTCCCCCTCTGTTGAAAGGGAGACCTGGATCAGGGTTTCTTAGGCATATTAGGGCTATGACAACAGAATGAAGATTCCAGCACTGAAGATTCCCTCTGATGCTGGAGGGTAGTATGGCAGAAGAGAGATGAAAAAAACTAGCAGAGAGAATTGGACTGGTAATGAAAAGAGAGAATACAATAATGAGTAAGAGAGGAAACAGGAAAGTCGTCTTTGCACCAGAAACATTAACTATCACATTTTAATTAAGAATTTTAACAACAATGCTTGAAAATGTGTTTGTCATGGCTAGTTCTTAGGCATTAGATGTAGGGGAGGAAGACAGCATTCAGAGTGTTTTGGAAAACTATGCAGAGAAGAAAGGACTGAAATAAAAGTATTAAATTTGGGATCAAATGATGCTTCTGACAAAGGGAAAGAATGAAATTGCAGTCATTTTTATAAGGCCTGTTTTTCTAGAATCTACACTGAGGATAATTTTTCTCAAAATAACGCTGAGGAAAAAGTGCATATGTGACAATCCTCCTTTCAATAGATTGAACAACTGGTTGTAAAACAGAACAGTTTTTGTCGTACTTGTCCATTACGAATGTATTACAGCTTTTTCTTGGAAATGTTCAGTGTTTGTGACTAAGAAGAGCCAAAAGACAATGGCATAAAAAAAAGGTTAAAGGATCTTTAATGCATAACTTGACTGATATAGATAAAAGCAGATCTTGTTTTTCAGATGCTCTGGATGTGGACTTCGAACTGAGAGATGATGTTTGGGATGATATTGATGATGAGAAATTAGTATTTGCTAGCAACTTTGCCAGCAGAGAATTAGGTAAGGTTACTTTAACAAAATTCTTTGTTTCCTACATACAAATTATTTTACAGGCTATTATTTGAGAATAATTTATTATAGTATACAATGAATAGAATTACCTGAAATTTTTTTGGTTAATTGACTTGACTGCCAGGTTTATTACTCTACCTTGAATGTCACCTATATTGAGACAAATCTAATACAGAAGGGAGAGTTGAGAAAAGTCATAATTAAAAATTTTTTGGATGGCCTGCAACTGCATATTTGTTAATTTATCTGACTGCTTATCTCTGCTTATCTTTACATTAGCTCAAAACCCACAGAAGAAATATTTCAAGTGTTAAGACATTTGAATAATTTTCAAACTATTATTTATCATATTATGTAAAATATTTACAAGGGGTTTCAGCTGTTTTGTGACTCAGTTTTTAAAACTTTCATTCTTATATGGAACATGGAAATATCTGCCTTCAAATTCTAGATGAGTGTGAACCACTTTGCCACTATACAAGAAACAAAGCCACAAATGATATTTCAAAAGAGTAAGCATTATATAATTTATTACAATTTTATTCGCTTTAAAATATTGTCTGTATTTCACATGTATCTATATAATTAAATGTATAGAAGGTTGTTCGTTCATAAAAGTGAGTGAAATTTCAACTTTTAAAAGGTACGAATTGTTGAATGATTTGAAATTTTTTTTTAAATTCAAGTGTGGAGGGAAATAAATAGAAAAACCTGAACTGAAAAGTAAATAATTTTGCACTCTGTAAAAATACTTAAACTATTATTCAACTTGATATTTTCAGTTCATGCACATTACAAGATGAGACCAATATTCAGAACTCAGTTGTTTCTGTGGTTAATAGCACTTCAAAAGTGAATTTATCTGTACAGAGTGGAAATATAAATATGGTGAGTAAAAATATTTCAATAGAATTTCCTATAATTAGAGTATTTCATATGTAAATATATTTACCTTATCTGACTTATGAATCAGTTTGGACACGCTGAATTTCTGAACTTTTCTGTGTTGTCCAAACATGCATGCATCCTATGTTCAGTGTGATATTCATGATACAAAGAACTAGGACTTGAATTTACTTTAATATAGCATATTATAGCAACTATTTACTCAATTTGATTGTGATTCTGAAAGTCATCCAAGTATATAATTATATTTATCATGTGTTTGGTCTATGTCAAATACAATAATATCAATATAAATATCTGTACTACATACTACAACAATCTGGCAGTTTCTCTTTGGTTAGTTATTTTAACCATATACACTTTTTAACATTTACATTGCAGTTCAGTTTTCAAGAAAAAAAGCATTCAAATCCTTCACAAGAGCTGAAAAATATACAGTGTTCTTCGATTTCAAAAATAATCTCAGATTCTTCTAAATTCACTAGGAAAGAGGATTTTTTCATTTTCACAAAAGAACAGGAAAAAGAAGTAGATCCCAGGTAATAAAAAGTTGTGTATGTTTTTCTGTTGCCTCAGTGTTCTAGTGCTTAGTTCTTCATGGAACACAAACCTTTAGGTGATGTGTTAATTTACAACTTTCATTTTAAAAAGATGAATTTTCACAGTAATGGTAGCAATTAACTTTCCTTAGAAAGAAGACGACTTTAAAATTATTTTGCTTGTCTTGGTATCTCTTGACTATGCTTTGTATAGTATTCCTGATTTCATAGGTTTTGATGTACTATACCTGATTTAATTTTTCTGTTTACTTAATCTTCATTAGATGTCTTCCTGATGATGAAATCAATGATGTCACGCCTTTTCTTGGAATATTTGATGGCATTTTGTAAAACATATAAACAAAATACATTGTAAGTGCTGGGGGAAAAAAGTTACAGTTGTTTTTACAGAGTGAAGCCTTCAAATCCAGTTAAGAGAATTTCTGTTGTATACCCATTTACCAATAGCTGGTTTGCTGCATAGACTAGGTAATAACAAAATTGATGTCTGATTTATGGAATTCTAGGTATATTATCTTATTTTGAAAAATGCTTAAATATTTGTTTTTTGACCTTGCTGTTTTCAGGATTACAAATAAAAATATTGGAATGTGTCAAAGGAGAATAGTTCTTAAACTGAGGGTGCTTTTATAGATAAAGTAAAAATCACATAAGGGAAAGTAAACTGTTTATTACATGCCCTGCTCACAAGTACTCTTTAAATGAATGAAAGACACTTTCCTCAGAAATCTCTTAATGCTTTTTGGTTTTGTCTTTCAATTTCTCTAATGCTGAATTTTTCATAGCACTGATTCTGTAAAATAATTAGATTTACCAGTAAAAGTAAAAGAATGGTTATTCTAGTCTATATTCCTTTTGACAGTGCTATCAACTCGTTAATAAAGTGCAGCTTCCTTCAAGCAAATGTGTTTCTAGACTCTCAACAAACTAGTTGTAAAATGTCTATAAACAATATTCTAAAGTTGTGTTTGGCTGTTCACTTTAACACCTGAGGTCATAAAATGGATATTTATGCGTCCCACTACAGATTTAGGCAACCAAAGATTGGATTTGGATATCTAGTTAGAAAAATACATTGTATTGCCTAAAATCCAAGGGAATGTTAATTTTCACTGTTAATTATTCAAAATGTGTGGAATTAAAATGTTAAAATCACACATGGAACCTTAGCTGTCTGTTCTTGCAACGTTGTTTGTGGTGCAACTAAATGCAACCATGTTTTGCTGTGCTACCTGGTTGTATTTTCCTCAGCTAATAATATTTTACTTGACTCCAGTGTTTCCTTACACTTTTGACTTACTTTCCGGTATAACTCATTCTCCACATGAAAGAATGGCCTAGCACAAGCAGCCTCAACACTCAGGACTTGATATGTATTTGACTGTGCAAATTCCAGCAGGTCCAAGCTTATAACTCACTTTGCTGTACCTCAAATATTTCATTGCATCTGGAAGTTAGTAGTATCTCTTTTTGTCTCAATTTTTTTTTTAATTAAACTTCCAAACTAAGGTAACTCAGAATTACTATACTACCGCTATGTTTAGCTCAGCAGTCCTAGTCGTGTACATCCTAGTCACCTCCCAGTTCCGTGTCAGGGTGAGATTTAAGAATGCAGAGTGCCAAATGTCATTTTAGGTGCCTCAGAGAATCTTCCCTCGGCTCCATCTACCATGCCAGCAGAGCATGGGTCTCCCATATGGAGAGGTTCCAGGCCCTCTAGGGCATCTAAGATGGTACTTGATGCCGATGTTTAAGCACCTGACTCTCCCTGCTGCTTGAAATACACAATTTTTTTTTCCAATTTATAGTTCATATTTACATAGCATTCTTTAATTGCCTTTGTATCCTGCCTTTCCCTGGGATTTTAGCCTGCAACAACTAATTGAGCTATTCCTCAGTTTCTTCAAGTTTGACAAAAGCTTTTACACAGCAACACAAAGCTGAGCTTCAAACATGGAAAATAGGAGAGGAAGGAAACAATTAATTTAATCTTGTGATTATATCATTTATACAATTTATATAATCTTGTGATTATGCAAGTTGCAACTTTCCAAAACCTCACTCATCTGCTGGTTGCTCAGGCCTTGCCTGCAAACAGGGCATGCTTCTGATGGCAGGTGCTGCACTTTTTCCTGCTAGTCTGCAGGAAGCTCCTTCTAAAGGTTCTGAACTGTGAGGCAGCGACTGTAGTGGAAGTTGGTTGTGCTTAGGTCTTCATGAAAATGAGTAAGTAAGCTTCTGTTTATTTCTCTGTACTAAGGAAGTATCTTTTCAAGATGTTTTTTGGCCCCATTTCTACTCTGAAGGTGTATTTCCATTTTTCTGTGAAATATTTTGGTAGTTTATATAATGTCTAGAAAGTAATTGACGTTATTGACATTTTTGCTTCATTGTTTTGTTTAGTCTAAATATAACCACTGTTTTTTAGTTAGTTGATAAGAGTAGGTTTATATTTAGACTATTACTTCAAAGAAAATTAGCCTTGCAGGCAGGTATTTTATTTTCCTCTTAGTTTTCCCCAGTGCAGGAGTTCAGTAGTTATTATTGGGTTTCTTCAAGATTCAGGCTGATTAATTTTCTGATACTGTATTGAAATTTTTCCTTTTGATTTTTTAAAAGACTTTAATTTCCAATTTGATCCATAGTCAGAACACATGATAACAAATGCATTTCAGTACTTTCAAGACTATTCAGAGTAATTTGCAGATGGTTTACAAGATCGTTTCCTGTCTCTGTTTTTCCCAAGAAATCAGCGTCCTATATCATCCTTGGAAAATTACAAAATTGTGCTACATTTCACAGATTTCAGAATATAAATCTTTCAATACTGCAATGTCTTTACAGTAATGTTGAACCTCCGGTGCAAAAACATTTTTCTAGAGATAAGTACTTTATTTGGCATTGTTGTTTTGCTTCATTATTCATATTAGGTCTATGACTCTTTAAAGTCTAAGTCACTTTCAGAAAACCAGCTTGGAAGTACTTATATGCTGAAGTGTTCTCTATCTCAGGAGAAGGAATGACTTTTCATATGGTAGCAATTGTTATTTTTCCATTTTTCAAATCATAATAATTTGAAAGATCAAAAGTGATAAACATAGTAGGTCTCTATGGCAGTAATTAATTGCAGATACACAATGACTGAACTTCAAAACCAATACAGGCAGAAACAGCAAATTGACTGCAGAATTAGAAAAACCTAGTCAAATCTGATTTTTTTTTTTTTTTTTTTTTAGATTAAACCTCCAAATTGAGGTAACTCAGAATTACTATACTACTGCTGTGTTTAGCCCAGCAGTCGTAGTCATGTACATCCCAGCCACGTCCCAGTTCCGTGTCATGGTAAGATTTAAGAATGCAGAGTTTACCTCCTGCCCATCACCATCTTGTGATTTCCATGGAAAGCAGATGGCTCTTAGGCAGGAACAGTGGTGTTTCTCCACAGATGCTTTATATGAATGACCAGGGGACCAAAATCATGATAAAGTCATGCCCCAAAAGGTAACTATAGACATAGCTATGAAGAGCTGTCTAATTTTAGTCATTTAACTGAATCACCTTAAGTGGTAAACCTAGTTTACCTGGACTCCCTGTGTAGTCACTAGGAAGAGGCAGACACTGTCAGAAGATGATTCAGATTGTAAGTGGGCTGAATTGCTCTCTGGTGGAACTCACCAAATTACCTATGATGAAAGTGACCGCATACAGTTAGCATGGAGAAGCTGGTGTGCTGTAAATTCAAAGCCAGGCTCACTGAATATTGCCTTTCTTGTGCACACGAAAAGCCTGGGTTCTTTTATCCGCATAAGGTCCAACTTTTCTAAGTTGAATAGTCTTCCTTCTGTACAGCAAAAGACGGCTGTGCTCCACTAATGTTGCTGCATGCAGCTTCCTTTCAGGTGCTGCCCAGATGATAAAACAGACTAATTAAATTCAACCCAATAACATCAGACAATTTCACTAAGCTACTACCAATAGATAAAATACAGGCTAAAATACATAAAAACATTGTTAAAGTCTGAAGGGATCCTTGTTTTTAATTCTGCATGGAGTTGTAATATTAAATGAGTGGCTTGAGTTTGAATCAGTGGGATTTTATAATTCTTTGGGGATACAACAGAATGCCACAGCCTTTAGTCTGGGGATGATTCTATAACATTTGCATTATAAAAATACTGTTTCCCATAATGGAGTAGCGAAAGAAAACTCAATGTGACGAGAAGTTAGATTTTACTATCTTACTTGTCTGATTCTCTGTAATAAAATACATGCTCATACCTGCTTTTAATTTAACTTCAACTTCCTTATATACTTCCTTGTCCTATCACATATATTGGTTTCAAAATATAAACTGAGGTCAACCGTATCTGTGCCTGAAGAAAATGCAATATGCACTCAAAAACCATGAGCTTCAAAAATTGTTAGCAGAAAATTAAGTATAGTGTTTAAACATGTTGCCAGACACGTTTCTGTATAAGGTACGTTTATAGCACATAGAATACTGTAAATGTATTGTGACATCATTTTAATTGTATGCAGCATCTCATGATCATTTTAATTACGTAGACTTTATTCATGTATTTGAAGACTTTAATGTGTTAAACGTTACAGTAATTGTTAAAATAATAACAGCAGTTGCGACAAGTCAGAGTCTTGTTATTTGGGTGTATTTTTACTTAGATATACATTCATAGAGGTATAAAAGTTGGTGCTCTTAAAAGCAGTCAGCATAATAATAAAGAGTGAACAGAAGTCACCATATGGAACCAACATGCACCTGAAAAACAGTTAAAATCAGTCATTTTGTAGAGTGCAAATGACACCTCTCTAAGGCATCATTATGACAGAATTAGTGGTATCTCTTCTAAAAGAAAGGGTATCTTGCGTTACCTCTTTATGTCACCCCTTCTGCTTTTTATGTAGAAGCAAGAGAGCAGTATCATGTTAATTGTTTTACTGACAGAATCTTTAACTGATATCCATGAAATGAAATCTATGAATGCATGTTTGGTTTTTTTTTCTAGCTCCTTTGCTTAACAAGGAAATAGAAAAGAAGGTACTAGTCAGGGTAAAATGCACTTCCTGCAGAGGACTAACAACACATTGAATTTATTGAAGGCTTACATGAGAATAAACTGAGGCACATACAGTGTGCTGATAGTTTGCAGTGATGAAGTTCAGCTTGAAAAAAATCAGATAGAAAAAGGACAGTGGTTTATTGGCTGCCATTGTTCAGCTAGAAGGGCCACCCCGGTTGACCCATGTTTCAGTATTTGTTCTTTAAACCTGTATGAGATAAAATTGTATCTGTCCAAGTCCTCGCTTTTCTC